ATTGCAGCAGACGCATCTTCTCGAACCGTGGAAGAACTCGGGTTGGAGGTCGAACTCCTCGAGGAGTACTCTCTTCCGAGCACCAAGTACGAATACCGGTCAAACAATTAACGAAACTCTCACGCTTTATGAGTTCCTTTCTATCTCTCTCTCTCTTTCTCGAGGGCGAAGGAGTGGAATTTTTCTTGAATTCTATGACGAGAGTTACACGATATCCCTGCTAATTACGAGGCCTGGTTTAGGTTACAGGCAAATTGCGTGCGTGCAACGTTGTGAAACTCGATCTCTCGAGACGCGAGGACAGACGAAAACGAAGATTCCCCTCTGATCCCTGTCTTCGAAGGTTACAAAATGTTCAGCAAAATTATCGAGCAAATTTGTAGGATATTGTAGGAATCCGGAAAAAACAATCGGGTTTGATCGTAAAATCGGCTCGAGACTGTAAATGCAATGGGAGTTTGATTGTAAAATCGGTTCGAGTCTAAAAATATTTAGGTTTGATCATAAAATCGATTCAAGTCTACAAAAACATTTGATCGTATAAATATTTAATCGTAAAATTGGTTCGAATTTATAAAGAAACATTTGGATTTGATCGTAAAATCGGTTCGAGTTTGTAAAAACAGTCGATTTCGATAGTAAAATCGATGGTGAATTCGATGCCGAACGCGAGGTTAGAAAAGGCTGCGATCACGTCCGGCGTTGGAGAAGAACGTTCGAGCACTCGAACGATCAGTGAAACAGTTTCGTTTCGAACGTTTTTCGACGGTCATTCGGAACGATTCTGACTACAGTTCCCGGCCGACAAGACGGGGAGGGAACAATGATTCCCATTACCGGTTGCAGTTTTATTTAAAAGCCGAGCGAGGCATTGTTTTCGCGGACAAGCGGTGGACCGCGAACTCGCGGCGTTTTCAGCACTGGCTGACGGCTCTCGTGGCTGGCGCGGCCCCTTCGCGTTTAAAGACTCCTTACGCGCATTGTTCCGACGAATGAAAAGCTTCCTCTTGCCCGTTCTATCGGGAAAATACCAGCATCCGGATTTCGACGAAATACATATATATAAATATATATATATATATGTATAGACTGTAGATACCGTTGCGAAAGAGCGTTTCTTTCGTAGTTTTAACACAGAGGACATATTCACTCACTCACTCGTCACTTTACGTAGGTAAAAACAATACAAATTTTAATCAAGTGGTCTAAAATAAAAATAAAGTTTATTAATTTAATTTAAGTTTAAAATAAAAATAAAGTTTATTAATTTAATTTAAGTTTAAAATAAAAATAAAGTTTATTAATTTAAGTTTAAAATAAAAATAACTTTTTATCAATTTAAGTTTAAAATAAGAATAAAATTTATTAATTTAATTTAAGTTTAAAATAAAAGTAAAATTTATTAATTTAATTATTATTAGACATTTATTATTAATTTAATTGTTAATTTTATTATTTAATATATATTTGAAATTTATTATTAGGAATTCAATTATTAATTATTAGGAATTAGGAGGAAATAGTTGTATTAAATAGTAAGTGTTAGGAATAGGAGGTATTAAGTTCTTTAGACTTGCACCTTGCCAGCATGACTCGCTAATCTTTATAATTCCCTCACGATCAACAACTTGACTCGATACTCTCCAATTCGAAATTTTATCTTCGAAATCTTCGTCTTCGCACACTCACACACACACACAAACATTATATTACATACAAACAACTCTCATATTTTATGTCTTAACGCTAGTACTACCAAAAAGATCAAAATTTATAATTTCTTCTAGAAAACAAACGTATTTTTAAAACATTTATATGATTGAAATAATTTTTAAAAATTTAAATGATCAGCATAATGTATCTTTCGAAAATTCAAACAATTGAAAAAATGTGTTTCTCAAAAATTTAAACGACTTCGAAAAACGTGCAAACAAAAGCTCGTGTAATTTATCGTATTACTCTCCCATTTTTTTATTTTTATGTCTCTTATGGAAGTGTTATGCTCTAGCCATCGGTCGTTCTAGCTTGCGCGGTTCCAAACCAAACAGTCCCAAAGCCTAGGCTTCGCTGTGACGAATCTCACGAGTCAGGAAGAAATTCCAAAAACATAAGACTCCCTCGCTCCCCACCGCTGCTCGTATATTTTCAGTTCGGCTCGTGCGAGCGCGTGAATTTTTCCACGAGCGTGTGTGTATATTCGTAACAAAGACAAAATCGATCTTACGACGAGAAGCGGCCATTGTCCAAAGGTTGTTCGATAAATCCGTTTGTTCCGCGCGATACGGCGAAATTATCGAGAGCCTGTGCATGCAAGATTGCCGATAAAAAAAGAAAACGTGCCGCAATATTTTTGTTGTTCTTATCGGGGGCTGTGTGCAAACGGTCACAATTCCGGAGAGCAATCCCAGGGCTGACGTCGAGAAAGAAACGGACAGATACTTCCCCGCCGATAACGGAATCACCGATAACGATGTCGTTTCCCGGTGGAAACTGGCGCACGCGAGTTGCACGCGAGTTGGCGGGGACAGGGACCGGAAACGCCAGCCGAAATTGCACGTTTTGCTTGCCAGGCAAGCAAACAGCGAACGTTTCGCATGCGTGGAGCGCTGCAAAGCGAGGCCGGGACTTGGCAGGAAGCAACGTCCCCTATCGGCCGACTCGTCGTCGCTGCGATGTTCCTTCTTTTCTCTCTCTCCCTCCCCCCTCTCTCTGTTTTTTTTTCTGTCGTCGTTCGGCAACGAGCAACAAGGAAATGACAAGAGAGACGGAGAGACTTTCTACTTGAAACGGAAAATTATTAATATATCCCAGCGTTTGGCTCACCTTTGGGAAATCTTTGCACAGACTTTCGACACGAGTTTTCAACGAACTCGTCTTCATCGTTCGGTTTCGACAAATCTTGCAAATGTAGAATCTTCTTTTCGAACGTTTGTTTCTTACTTTTCCACAGACACCTATGTGAACCTGTTTCGGAGATTTTCGAATAACCTTCGCCACGTTGAAAGAAAGCACGGGAAACTCAAGATGATCGTTTAACGAAGTATTTGGCAAACGTTCATAACAATAGAACTAAGTTTGATAAAAGAATAAAAACTGTTAGCTCGAGTCGTGAATAATTTCCGTTTCTCGGGAAATTGTTGACTTTCAATGATTTTATCGTGCTAATGACTCGTCAAATTCGAGAGATCTAAACCTGTTAACAGTATATTCTGATGTTTAATAAAAAAAAGAATCAAATGCTTCTTGCAAATTCCTCCTAATTTTTGTGAGCAATATATATTATATATATAACAATGTATCATACACCAAACGGGCAAGTCGGGGGAGGGGCTACGCGCAAGAAGCCACGTGACAAAATGAACGGTCGTGAACGGCCGTGAGCCGTTTCTTTACAAACTCCGTAAGTATCTTGATTGCACGGAGATGCGTAAAAATTGGACACGCGAAGCCGATAATTCATCTCGGGGCTCGATTTCGTTTCGTTCGTTCTCGAAAGTGAGTTTCGTTACTTTCCGAACAAGAAGGGGAGTGGATCGAGGGGGGGGGGGGGGGGGGGGGGGGGGGGGGGGGCACGGTCGAGCGAGACCGCCCCGCTATCTTGCCCGACGTGAATCGTACGCGATGCACGCGGATAAGATAAGCCCTTGCCCGTGTAATTTCATCGATCAACGTCGATTGCAGCATCGCCAATGTGAGCGAGCGAACTTGGCGCCCGGACAGGAGGGAGAGCTCCTCGTATCGATCTCCCTCCTCGAGGAAAAAAATCCCTCCTCGAGCAAGAGGGAAAACGCCGCGTAATGACAATTCGCGGCGAAGAGGGGGAGGGGGAGAGAGAGAAAGAGAGCCGCTGGAACCGAATATCTTGGCGAATGCGATCCAAATTCATTATCCGCGTTCCCGCGAGGCGAGCCGCCGCGCGCTACAACCTCGAAATGAATCTCGAAAGTGGGACGTACGCTTATTAGAAATTCCTGGATTGTTCCGCGTACGTGTGTACCCGGTCTATTTGCCCGGTCCGGAATTCGCGGGAGGAAGCCTTCCAGCCAATGGACCTCTTGGCGCGGAGAAGAGTCGTTTCCTCGTGGCAGCCGCCGAACGACCAACATCTACTATAATAGCTTTATTAACACTGTACAGGGCAGCGATGTTTGCCAGGCGACTGGTCGGTATCTTTCAGCGAGTTGAACGAGGATGGAGAAATTGAAGCAATTTTGTATCACATTGTCGCGAAGAGATTTTATTAAAGATTCGTATACTGAAAACAATTAACATAAATAATAAAAGAAAGTAATACTTTTAAACATACACGTATGTTTAATGATTTTTTTTTTTTTAACAAGGTGAGATTCAAAGCATTTTTCCAAACGTAAGCTTAGTAAATAAGTCATTATTTGACTAACCTAACCTAAACCTATATTTGACCATTATACGACGACATATTAATCTATTAACCTAACCTAAACCTTATTCATCAAGTTTATTCACTCGTCGTGGCGCAGTCGTTTCTTCATCGCCGCTGAAGAATTTCGTTCCCGTGTTTTTCGAGTTAACTCGCAGGATCGTCGAGGAATTATCATCCGAGACGATGAAAGCGGATTTTCAGTTTGCTCTCGTTTCTCTTCTCGTCGCGACGGGAAGGAAATTTCGAAGAGGAAGATATTTTCTCCGCTCCCCTAATGGCCGTAATAAGACGACACCGACATGGGACACAGAGTCTCATTCCCCCGAGAAGATTTTCTAAAAATAGAAAACGACTTTTTTTTCCTTTTGCTCTTCCGTGGGTTGCTTCCTCGTAAACGTGTCGCCGATCGAATTTTTGCCTGCCCCCTCGTGCCACCTCTCGACGAGAAAGATCCCCACGACGACACGGCGAAGCGAGGATCTCGTGATCCTCGAAGGGTAACACCTAACACCGAGTCGTCTCTGATCTTTCGACTTATCGAATTTTTCACTCGTGATTGCCGCACTCCTCGCTAAATTTTCCACTCGTGCTGTTGCAGCCAAGCGATGATCCGTGAACTTGGAATGTAGACCGAAGGGCGGAAAAGCGGCTCTGCCCCTCGCAGCATCGAACCAAGGGCTTTTCTTCCACCTCCGCTATCGTCTACGCCGTTATCTCACCCTCGAATACCTACCATCTCTCCGCATCTGCGCTTGGACACTGTAAGTATGCGTCTCCTTCTCTTTTTTTTTTTTTTTTTTTTTTTTTTTGTCTTTTGTGAACAATTTTTCCTCTTCAAACGCGTGGACACCAATTTTTTTGTGAAAGACTTATCATGTCTCAAGTGTAATCGATATCTGAAAAATATATATAGATATAAATTTGTGAATGTAAACATATAAATTTTCTAATGTAAATACAAACAGAAAATTGAAAATAATTCAGATTGTCTGGATCAGATGGTGGGGATACAGACTTTGAGTTCAATTTTTAATTTATTATTCAACTGCCTGTCTCAATTGTATTAAATATATTTCTCCGTTTGTTTAAAAGTCTGTTCTAATAGTTGAAAATATGAGTCAATTCATATAGTTTATTCATTCATCCTTGGCACCGAGACAAAGACCTTCTGATTTTCTGACGCTGAGTTCTAGATAGCGTTTTAAAAATATATTTAGCCGATAATATCCAGCTAATCTTTTCTAAAATATCCAGCTAAGCTTTTACTTTATTGAATTTCTGATTTATCTCCAAATTTTCAGTCAAATTAAATGCCACGGATCTTGAAGTGTTTTGCAATTTTTTTTTTTTGATAAGATAAATTTTGATAAAGTTTTACTTCATTTTTCACACCAAGAAGCGAAGGTAGTCCCAAAGTTTTTGTTTGAGTGATTATTATTTTTCATCAAGGTAAGATCTGACATGTCAAAATACCGCATTCACGTCCACTCTGCCAGTATGAACTGTCTCTACGGCATCCAACAATATCCTTCATTTGTCCATTCATAATTCCGCTATTGTTAGAGTTTCCTTTATATTCAGTTGGCACGATTCTCTAGAAAAATATTTACCAACTATTATACGATGGGTCAACTCTCCCCTAAAAAACCGGGCCATCTAACCCGACAGTCTGCAGGTCTGAGAATGACTCACTCGTTTCTTTTATGATACTTTTCATTATAGAAATGTAGCCGTAACCTCTAAACTACTATGTTAACATAATGTATTCCGAAAAGGTCGTTAGTTTTTGTGTCAAAATGTTGGTAAATTATGATTTGAACGATGAGCAGAAAATCGTCGAGACTATTCAATTACACACATTATACGATATAACCTAATTTTAGTCTTAAATAAAAACGAACAAAAGAAAAAACAGATAACTCTTTAAGACGCATATATATGTACATAATCTTGTCAATCAGGATTTCAAGCTACTAGAAGAGACGATGTAATAACATCTTCATTTACATTTGTCGTCAGACTCTCGATTGTCACGTCTTGATTACAGTGATCCTAATAGAAGTAAATTTATACGTAAAACTTAAATTTTCAAGGTTATGTTCTTTACATATATGAACGTATCTTTTTACCAGCTACACGATACAATCAAAAAAATATTAGGGGTAATATTTAAGTAATGTTGTTTGCCTAATAAGTAATGTTGTTTTTTTGATACTGTACAAAATTTTATTTTATTTAAGAGTTAATACAGTTTTAATCTATAATGTAATTTAACAATAAACACACTAAATAAATGCCAATGTATTTAACTGGAATATATAGGTTATGTCATAAGTTAAATTAGTGTCTAGATAGCAATGTTTATTAAATTTGTGGAAAACGATATTACTTGTGGGTACTCATAGAAAAAAAATATCAATGATACTAAAAATAATATTCTTACCAATTATTGGCCTTTCGATATCATTCATATTAGGCAATAAAATATTTTTTTCCATCATTTCAATTCGAAAAGATATCCAGGTGGCTTGAACGCGGACCACCCTGTATACTAATTAAAAAACGAAGAGGCTGAAACTTGACATTCCATAAACTGCATAAGCAGATCGAGCCATCTCACCCGTAGAGCTATCTCGCAAAAGGCCAATTCGTTTCGATCCGATTATTTTTTCTTTTTTTTTCTTGCTCAGCTGCGCTGCATCATATCCGAATGAAAGTATCCAGCTAGCCGTTTCAGAATAGGACGTGCAAGTACAATGTATAGAGATCGATAAGAGGGATAATGAGAATGACCTAAATTGAACCAAGTCGGTGATTCTCCGTCTTGCCTCGTGTTCTTTTTTTTTTTTTTTCGCTTCGAAGCCAGGTTTTCGTTTCACTCTCGCGGGTTCTCGACTTTTTCCGAGGGGGAAATATTCTTCGCTGGGCCCGGGCGAAAAACTAACTCGCCCGGCCGAAGGAGCGGATTAGCATTGACGAGAAGGAAGGGAGGGGGAAGGGGGACACGAAAGAAAGTAGCTAATTGGACCGGAGCGAGCAAATCAAAGCTGCTCTTTTGTGCGAGCTGCCGGTCTAATTGGTAGACGCGGCGCGCTCCTGCGCCGGCCATTCATCGCGCCATCGGTACAGAGTCTCAATTAATATCGCGTCTCGGAAGCGTGTGCATCTACGGTGCGCGTGGTGTTGGCTTCCCTTTGGTCTCCCTTTGGAAACTCGCCAAAGTCCGGCTCGAGTCTCGACTTTTCTCGATTAAAAGCTTCTCGACTCGAATCTACGGCACGACTCACGTCACGGTATCCATTTCCACTGCATGTCTGCACCGTGCACGGTGGACAGCGTAATTGCACGTTTTGCCCCGGTTCTCGTGCCCCGGAAAGATTAGATTAGCCTCGATGGTCTGCATCATGAGCGTCCAACCTTCTAGATCTTCTGGATCTCGTTGGCCAACAAAAATTTGCCGACGGCTGCACATAGTTTAATTAGGTTAACAGTTAAATTAGGGGGTATCTAGATTTAGGTTAGGTTATCTATTTACCGCTTTTCAGTGCAACCTGTGTTATTCACGAGAATGTCAAAACAACTTTTATGGCGAAACAGTACACTGATTAGAAAAATATGTTTACATTGATTTAAAAAATATGAAAATTTCTAATAATAAATAATAAAATTTTTTGTGTGCCTCGTATCGGAAAAAATCTGTTTGCAAATATATGTAAGTATACTGAAAGATGGAACATCACGAACATTCGTTAAAATTCATATTCGATTAGTCCAATGTTGATTATACGGTGCAAGAGAGTATATAAGCTTTTATTCACGTATTTTACAAAGTCTCCAAAAATGTACTGTTTTATATCTATAAAATATTTCACAAAAGTCATTATTTAATTATTGGTTATTTTGACCATTTTGGTAGTTCTAGTGTTAAATAGGGGAATTATTTTTAGGAATATTTTTGAGAGCACCAACAACGACCAAAGCATAAAATTCTCATCAGAAACGTTAAAGTAAAAGAAACAGAAAATCCTTATCCATCGTACTGAACGATCTTGCGTGTTTATTCGAGAATTAACATAAACTTGTTACGAGGGAGCTTGACTAACGGACCTCCGTTGGAATTCTCTTTCCTTTCTTTCTTCAGCCTGACGCAATGCACGCACGTGATTAATTATCGAACGATTCGCTTTGCGGGGGCGCGCATAACCTCCTCGTGACTCATTCACGCGACCGTCAATCTTTCTTTTCTTTTTTTTTTTTTTCTTTTTTTCTGGTTCTTGAGTTAATTCGAGTGCGATCGCGAATGCAAATGCGATTGTCGCGTTTCCGTGTCCCGTTTTCGCGCCCGTTGTTTACATTTTTCACCGTCCATTCTCTTCTGTTAAAGAGAATCGATACGAACGTGACGCGAGGTTCCTCCTCCGACGAGAAACGCGGAGTAATTCCCGGACGAATGAAACGAGCAGATAACGGGCGGCAGCCTTGCAATAAAATGGTAAAAAATCTCGCGTCCAGGATATTCCGCCGGGAGGCTCGGCTAGATTTTACCGGTTTAATCGACCGGTTCGATTTCCAAGCGCCGTGACAAATTCCCCGGCTATATTTTCCGGGACACTCGCGGGAATTGCTCGTTACACGGAACGCATACGTAATCGAAGCAACATTTGCACACACACTATATATACACAAACACACACACACGCGCGCGCGCGCACACACACACACGCACGTGCGCGCAGCGACGATGTTATCACGATGTTATCGATTTATAATATTTGATCTCTCGTGTTTGTCGTTGAACTGGCAGAAAGACAAACCGGCCCCTTTCTTTGTCGATCGATGGGGAAAAATTCGGAAAATTATCGCGACCTGTGAGTGTCCCCCTTAACGAACTTTCGAGTAAACTGAGGAAACCGTGCAGATCAGGCGTGTTTTCGCACTGTACAACCAAAATTGGAATAATTGAATAAGAATTTTATTATTTGAATAATTTTAACCACGAACGTTCATAATGCTCCTTTTGAAGAAGAGTATGTACATATACAGCAGATTTTTTTCCCTGCGAAACGCACGAAAAATGAAATTTTCGACGAGCTTGACAATTAATACTCTATTAAACCAGATATTGATGAATTGGTACCTAAAAAGAACAAGCTCGGTGTTCTCACTTCCGAAAAAGTTGTTTCAATTAATGTAAATATATTTTTCTAATTTTCAAGAGTTGTCTCGACATCCTCATGAATAACATGGTTTACGCTGAACTGATAAAAAAAAAAAAAATAACCTAACTTAAACCTAGGTTCCCCCCTATAACCTAATTAAACCACGTGCAGCTGTCAACAAATTTTTATTGGCCAACGAGGCCCAGAAGATGTAAAAGGCTGGGACACCGACTAATGTAGATCGAGGGGGTACGCGAAAAGAGACGCAGCAAGGAGCATAAATAAACGAGACGTACGGCTGTATCGATCAGTTAGGATAAACGAGACGGGTCTCTGGGCCGGGTGGCTGCCAGCTTTCGATGTCCACTGTCCCGAAGGAGTGGGCAACTTGAAAAAAGAAAAAAAAAAGAGAGAGGCCGAGGGTACCTTTTCCCGCCCTCTCCCCTCTTCGTCGATCGCCCGCGTTCACTAATTGAATTTCGAAGCGAGAAGCGAGAGTTATCGTCATCTTCGACCGTCTAAACAAAAAAAAAAAAAAAAGAGCAAAATAAATTCCAAGCAAATTCGCGCAATTTCGACTCTTTGCAAGTCGATCGCCGCCGCAATCGGAGAAACTGGTCGCGAGGAGGAGAACAACCGAAACGAAACGAAAACGGGATCGTTCGTCCCGATGGAATTACCGATCGTTGTCGCGATTGTGTCGCGACGGTTACCCGTACGAAATTGCTGCGTTACCGTGCGTTGCACGATGCTGCCACCGTGACAAGGGGGGCAACTAACTTTTTACGTCGGCACCGTAAGCCGTAGCCTCTGTGCCTGTCAATGCCTCGCGACGGAGAGGCAGAAACCTCGCGTTCCTAGCTTTCGACTTCCTCTTCTTCGCCCGGATTCCTCGTCCTTGCGGACCGTGTGACCAATCGATCGTGCGTCGTTTCCCTACGTGCGTGGAAAACTGCTCGAGCTACGGAACCCAGAGTAACTAACCGCTCGGCGAAGCTTCGCGGGTCGTCGTCTCTTCCGCACCGTCGCCCAACGATTTTGGTAAGTAGAGCACCGGAATCAGTCCGAACGAAAACGACGGTATAATAGGAGAGGGATGTGAAATCGTCGGACGATTCCGTCCACATGGCAGACGAATTCAGGCTCCGGGAACTTGAGTGTTTGTGAAGAAGAAAATCTGTTGCAGGCATCGTGTTTCAAATCGGTATATATGTGTATGTACTTCGCTCTGCAGAGCGTAGTTTTCTTCTTTCTTTGGTCGAGTTGAACGACGGACAAAGAGAAAAGGGCCGGCGATGAAACGTCGTGCCTCCCCTCGGTGACACGAGGGCCAAGTCCGTTATTTTCTCTCACCGAACGCTTCCGTGTACAACACTCGGATGCTGCGTGTAATCGCGCGTGACCAGCGCGCTCCACACAGACGGAACACGTAGAAGGAAATGGCCAATCAACGCGGACCTTCGTACAGAATCGCCGCCGATCTATTTCCCTCAAACGTGTCGGAAATGCAGAGCGACGATACATGCAGCGACTTCCGACTTCGATTCGCGATCGGTCGTCGTTTCGATTTCTGATCGGTTCGGTGTCGGTTAATGGGCTATTTAGCTAAAATCGCGTTGGGACAGTGCCATACGGCGTGATAGCGCTTCCTTGATGTAATTTGGTGATAAATACTGAGCAACGCGATAAAAATAGATAAAGCAAAAATTGCCCGTTTGTCCCACGTGATTTTTGAGATTGGAGGAAAAGTAATTAGCAGAGGAAGCTTCGATACGATATGGCGCTACAATTGAAACCAAGAGCATTCTATAGGGTGTCCACTGTAAAACTGAAGGGTTTGGAAAAGTCATAACTTGGAAAAAAGTAAAACTTGTTAAGTCATAATTTGGAAAAAGGTAAAACTTGTAAGGTCATAACTTGTAAAAAAGTGAAACTTGTAAAGTCATAACTTGTAAAAAAGTAAAACTCATAAGATCATAACTTGTGAAAAGTAAAAAGTCATAAATAGTAGTCATTTGAGGGATGTTGTTTTTCACACATAATACTGAATTAATCATATTTTCAAATAAGATGATAAAAAATTTTAAAAACGTGTGTTTGCAAAAATTATTTTTGTTTTATGTCATTCAGTTTTTCACTGACCACCCTATATATACACTGAACATCGTGACCAAACGCTGTTGCACTATTTAACGCGAAATCTGAACAGCGCGATTGCGCCGCGTGGCACTAAAACAGTTGGACAAGTGGAAAATCGGCACGTGTTTGCCTCGAGGGAATCGAGAAAGAGTAACGAGAGATTCGTTCGCAGATACACAGCGTGTTTAATAAGAACGTGGACGCCATTTTTCTGGAAAAAAAAAAAATTCTTTTTGTACGAAATTTTGCAGTACACTTAAAATATTACACTCACTATATAATTTATAATATTACACTTACATTACATATATGTTACACGTATATTATGTTACACTTACATTACAGTATATTACTCGATATTCATATTACTCGATTGATAGTGTATCTAATCTCCAACGATTATTGCTTGAATGCTTTCCACTTTTTTCAGCGTACGAGATGGGCAAAGATCTCCATATTTGTCGAATTTGACGACTTAGGTTTTCCATTGTTAAGACACGTGTCTCTCGCAGTTTTTATCTCTCTTATTGGTGGACAGCAATAATAGCTAGGTAGAAGCTAGGCAAGGTTTTTATCTAACTAACTAGGTTTTTATCTCTCTTGTTGGTGGACAGCAATAATAGCTAGGTAGAAGCTAGGTGGTAGAAATTGGACTTACTATTTTGTACGTAATAGTGTTTTAGGTGCACTTTCAAGCTATACAAAATTTTTTACAAAAAGAATATTTTTTTTAAAATGGCGTTCTTATTGTTCCCTTGACATACAATGACATCTAGGAGACATCACACGTTTCCTAAGGACTGTTGAATGTTTACTTATTAATTTCTGTTCTCTCATCATTTTTTCTTGTTATCAGTTTTACAAATTAATTTTGTTTATAAATATCGCGTTTCTGACATTTTGTAATATAAACACAAGAGTATTTTGTAATATAAACACAAGAGTACAAAAATGATCTCTGTTAAGTTCACGTGTAATGAAAAGTAAATGTCACTTTGTGGTCATATCGAATTTCACTTAGTTCGAATGTCGAGGGGTTAAACACACTGTAGACAGACAATTGTTCGTTTGAAACCGGTGTACTTGGTAAGGGCCTTTGTCCCCTCGCTGACTGCGTGTTTAGCCAAATTTACCCAGGAAGAAGTAAACGTACTGCCGTTTGAGGTGGGGATAGTTAATCGAGATGCCTCAGCCGCAGTGCGTTCAGAAATCGCATCGTTCATGATACGCTCGTAGCTTTGCCCAAAATAACTGGATGCACTTGTTTCAAGACTTTGTAAATGTAAACAGCATAGCTTTCCTTCCTCCTGCGTTTCTTCTTCTTGTCGGATTTACTAATGTTTTTCTGAGTTTTAGCAGCCTTCTTCATTAAATATTAAATTGAAAACCGAAATGTGAAGCTTACACATTGAACACCAAATTGAACATTTAATTGTGAAATATCAAACGTTATTGACATTTAACAGATGCACTCCAGTTTCTAAAACAAACTTCTGCCGTGATAGCACACACTGACAAATTATTTTGATTTTCATTGATTATTCTCCTTTTCAGTCGAGTATTTTGGTTTCATTGATGTTTATTTCGACTGTTATTTCAAAGACAAATTTTCAATGATCAAATAAATATTATTTCTTCAAATAATCAATTTTTCAATCTATCGTTTTCCCAATATTATTTGCACAGCTCCTTTAATTGACCAAAATACACACCCATTAATTAAAATCCATTATTTGCCAAATACTAAAAAACATCGTTTCAAAGATTTATATATACAAGCTATTATTCGAAATAAATTTCGCCGAGGCAGAATCTATTCCCACGAGTCTATGACTAATCGCAGCCAGACCGGGAAAAATTTTCGCTCGAAGCAGAAGCGAAAAGCAAGTTGAATCGAATCGGAACAATCGGTGATTTCAGGCGAGGACACAATGTCGAATAAACGAAGCTCCTTGACCAAGTTCGAGGCCCTGATGGTGCTAAGTTTGACGGTGCTCGTCCAGCTGGACGTCTGCTGGTGCTCGCCGTCTCACCGGAGCCGACACCACGCGGACATGTCGTACGAGGACACGAAGAGCTTCCGAACGAGCGAGGAACTGCCCAGACCGGCCGCTCTCAATTCCAACGACGATCCGCTAGTGGTTCAGACCAGGAAGGGCAAGGTCAAGGGTAAGACCATGACTGCCACCACGGGGAAGGAGGTCGACGCCTGGTTCGGGATACCTTACGCGCAGAAACCTCTCGGTAAGTTTTTCTTCGGGTTTCGAAAACTCGTTAATTAACCTTTCGTCGTTACTGGCGAGCTATTCTCGGAATTTCTCGGAATTCCTTCCTTCTACGCGAGCGTCTCGTTTGACGTCTTCGTTTTTCTCGTGGGTTTAGGTTAGAGTTTAGGTGAGTTTAACCACTTGCGCTGGCAACTGATTGCGGACCATAACGAGTGACCAAACCGTGCACAATAATTCGTCGCTTTCTTTTTAAACACGTCGGTATGATATCACTGGACAGAAATTATTAAGAAGTAATAAATTTATTATTTGTCTTATTTAAATATACTTAAAACTGAGAAAATATTGCAATTTTGGAACAAAAAAATCTCGACGTGCGTTAGAGGTTAACCACTTGGGCTGGCAACTGATTGCGGACCATAACGAGTGACCAAACGGTATACAGTAATTCGTCGCTTTCTTTTTAAACTCGTCAGTATATCACTGGATAGAAATTATTGAGAAGTGACAAATTTATTATTTGTTTTACTTAAACATACTTAAATATACTTGAAACTGAGAAAATATTGCAATTTTGGAGACAAAAAATTCTCGACGTACGTGGCAAGTCAATCCAGCGCAGAGAGGTTAACCACTTGCGCTGGCAACTGATTGCGGACCATAACGAGTGACCAAACCGTGCACAATAATTTGTCGCTTTCTTTTTAAACTTGTCGGTATGATATCACTTGATAGAAATTATTGAGAAGTAACAAATTTATTATTTGTTTCACTGAAATATGCACAAAACAGAAAATATTGCAATTTTGGAACAAAAAATTCTCGACGTGCGTGGCAAGTCATTCCAGCGCAAGAGGTTAAAAGCGAAAGAAAGCGTCGGAGTTAGATGGTTCGGGACGGGACTCTGTTTGTTGTAGGAACACTGAGATTCCGGCATCCGAGGCCGGCGGAACGTTGGCCGGGGATCCTGAACGCAACCACGCTGCCGAATAGCTGCGTGCAGATTCTGGACACGGTGTTCGGCGACTTTGCTGGCGCGACCATGTGGAATCCGAACACGCCGCTTAGCGAGGACTGCCTGTACGTGAACGTGGTCGCGCCACGTCCTAGGCCTACCAATGCCGCTGTTATGGTATGGATATTCGGTGGTGAGTTCCAACTGACACCTGTTCCGTCCTTCTGTTTTTCACCTGTGGTGTAGAGAGCTCATTTTTCATGGCTCTCGTGAAAGAAGAAAAAGCAAAAAAACAAAAAGAAAAAAAAAAAATACTCAGAGCAGAGCCAGATCGTGGTGTGAGAATCGTCGCCAGGGGTCGACGTTCTTTTACAGGTGGTCGCTTCTTGACGAGAAACGCTTATTTTCGTCACGCGCGCGCGCGCGCGCGCCGTTATTTTAGCACCGGCTATTTCTTCACCGGAAAGTGTCTCGGCCCGAGCGGTCGGAAGAACCGCTCCGGGAGATGACGTTCGCGCGGTCGCGGGCCAACAGGTGCGATCGAGGAAGAAAAAAAAAGAACACGTCGCGGAGAAATAAGCGTCGCTCGCAGAGAGAAGCGGGAAATGTCATTTGGTCGTCGGAGAAATGAAAATAGACATGTAGAGAATGTGAACGCTAGCGCGTGCAAGAGCAGCAGTCGAAGTACGCGCGCACGTGTGCCACGTGCGTGCGTGCGACGTGTCTGCGTGATCTGTTTGAACAGAGAGAGAGAGAGGGAGAGAATGAAAGAGAAGAGAAGGTTACTTTCGAGAGATGGAATCGCGCGACACATCCTTGTAGGTGGCTTTTACTCCGGATCGGCGACGCTCGACGTTTACGATCACAAAACTCTGGTGTCCGAGGAGAACGTGATTCTAGTCTCGATGCAGTATCGAGTCGCCAGCCTGGGTTTCCTGTACTTCGGAACGTCGGATGTTCCTGGGAACGCCGGTCTGTTCGATCAGATGATGGCCCTTCAGTGGGTCCGCGACAATATCGCTGCGTTTGGCGGAAATCCTGACAACGTGACCCTGTTCGGAGAGAGCGCGGGCGCCGTTTCCGTTTCTATGCACCTCCTTTCGCCTCTGTCAAGGTGCATACCTTTTCTCCTTGTCACTTTATGTTCGCTTCTTCTTTCGTTTCTTTTCTTTTTTTTTTTTTTTTNTTTTTTTGTTATTCTTTGTTCTTTGTTTGTCTTTGCTTGTCGCTGCCATGTGTCTACTGCTATCGACGCTACAAGCGATAGTCGGTTGGAGATCACCCACCCCCCCGCGTTGGCAGAGCCAAAGAAAAAACGTCGGTGGGCGGTGGTCTCGAACTTAGGGCCGCGCGCTTCTCAGATTTTCCAAAACACCGGCGACTGGCCGAGCCACCGCGAGAGCCAACACCGTTCTACTCTTGACTTTCAGGCATCTGTTCAACCAAGCCATCATGCAGTCCGGCTCGCCGACCGCGCCCTGGGCCATCATCTCGCGGGAGGAGTCGATCGTGCGCGGCATCCGGCTGGCCGAGGCGGTCGGCTGCCCGCACGATCGCGACAACCTGCAGGAGGTGATCGACTGCCTCCTGGTAAAGGACCCGATCGAGCTGGTGAAGAACGAGTGGGGCACGCTCGGCATCTGCGAGTTCCCATTCGTGCCGGTGATCGACGGGGCGTTCCTCGACGAGACGCCTCAACGCTCCCTGGCCACCTCCTCCTTCAAGAAGGCGAACATCATGATGGGCTCCAACACCGAGGAGGGTTTCTACTTCATCATCTACTACCTGACCGAGCTGTTCCGCATCGATATGGCCGACGACGTGAAGGTCAGCCGGGAGCAGTTCGTCAACGCCGTCACCGAACTCAACCCGTACATCAGCCAGATCGGCAGGCACGCCATCATCTACGAGTACACCGACTGGCTACACCCGGACGACCCGCACGTGAACCGCGACGCCCTCGACAAGATCGTCGGCGACTATCAGTTCACGTGCAACGTGAACGAGTTCGCTGGACGTTACACCGACACCGGCAACACCGTTTACATGTACTATTATAAGCACAGGTGAGATTCGATTCTCTCTCCCTCTCTCTCTCTTCTTTTGTCTTTCTCTCTGTGGTAATTATTTAGAAAAGGGGGGGGGGGAGGGTCTCACCGATTTCGACGATTTTTGAATATGTTGTAGAAATCAACTTTTGAACAACTTTTTCCTCAACATATAACCGCCGTTAGTTTTCGAGATTCTTGCAAAAATTATTGCTACTACTACAGTGAATATTGCCTGTAGCAGCGACGGCGAACCTTTTTGAGAAGTAGGTCAAATTTTGTTCATTATTTTTTTTAGTACTAGCTCGTGGGTCACTAAGTCAGTGCGGTCACTTGGAAAGGGGGAGGTGAAAACTACTAAGGGATGGTTAAAAACTACTTTCTTTTGGTTCTCACTTTTATAATTCTCTAAAAAGTTGACGTTTCACTTTTGCAAGTGAAGAGCAAAAAATAAATGTCGACGTCAAAAAATTGATGTAAAAGGGGTGACACCGTGCTCAGTCACCCTTGCACTATACATTAGATATATATATACTTTATTTCTTAATATTTTTTATTGTCTATTCTCTCTTTTATTATATAAAAAACTAGCAAAGCTACCCATTTTGAAAGTGGGATCTAGTGTTTTTTTCAGTGTTTATTACATCTGTTTAATCGTAAGCGCGGTATAAAATTTTTTGGACACAACTAACTCGTATAACATTTAAGACTTAAAATACTTATATGTATGCATAACCAAGTCGTAAATCCTCCATAAACCACAATTATGCGTTTATTTCTCACTTTTAAGCTGTAACCGAACACTTGCAATTTTCTTAACATTTTTTGAAAAGAGGCGTTCGAAAAATAATTAAAATTCTTTTATATATATGGTGATAAGTTTATAAAAATCAACGCGTGGATCAGTGTCTGGTCCGTGGGTCATAGGTTCGCCATCATTGGCCTATAGCTACATGCAGCTATAGTAGCAATAGTTTTTTGCAAAAATCTCGAAAACTAAGGCCCAGCGACGGTTATATGTACAGGAAAAAGTTGTTCAAAATGTTGATTTTTACAACATATCTAAAAATCGTCGAAATCGGTAAGACCCCGCCCCCTTTTTCTAAATAATTACTCTATCCTTTTGGTCTCTTTTCGGCTCGTAGATCCGCCAACAATCCGTGGCCGAGATGGACCGGCGTGATGCACGCCGACGAGATCAGCTACATCTTCGGCGAGCCGCTGGATCCCACCAAGGGGTACACGCCCGAAGAGGTGAACCTGTCCAAGAGGATGATGAGATACTGGGCGAACTTCGCGAAAACTGGGTGAGTCAGTACTTTATTCAATTAAAATAATTCAGTTAATTTACTATTAAATCCTCTTTCAAATTAACGTTAAAATTAATCATCTAAAAGTTTCATTTCTTATAATTTATTTATTCTTAAATGTACTACATTTTGATTTGAAATATTATTTTATAAAACTTTTATTTAATTTCAATAACAATACATGAATGTAATTTAAGTATGTTTTATCGTCAGTTATCAAATTAAATAACAAATTTTCTTAGAAAACAAGTCGCCACTTCAAACAACCCCTCGTTATTGCACAAGAGTCGTTGCAAAACTGTGGCTTTGAGTCAATTTAAAGACACATATTTTTCATTTTCACTCTCTTTCTTTCTTTCTTTCCTTTTTTCTTACTGATGTTTTTTTTTTTCCTTTGTCACGTCAGGGATCCGAACATCGGCGACGTCGAGTCGTGGACGCAAGCCTACTGGCCGCCACATACCGCTGCCAAGAAGGAATACCTGACACTGGACACCAACAGCTCGGAAATCGGTAACGGGCCGAGAGTGAGACAGTGCACTTTCTGGAAGAAGTATCTCCCGCAACTGCTCGCCGCCACCTGTGAGTAATCTCTCCAACTTTCCAACCTTTCGTTGCTCGCGAAGGTATACCCAACCTTTTTCCGTTTCGTTCGGTTTCTTCGTTCGTTCGCCCTTCGATCGCGCTCGGATTATCTCCTGTGACACCTGTTGAGTGGAAAATACGTTTCATTAACCTGAAGTTGCGGTCGCCCGACACGGTCGTCGAAAGCAAATCAATCGGCTCGATTACTTTTTCCGGTCGACGGATTTCAATCGAGAGCGCTCCGTACTACCGAACTTGGCGAATGCCAGCCGCTCTCGATTCAACTTCCGGGACGTTCGTTTCACGTTCCTCGAAAATTCAGTGTTCGGCGGGGCGAAGACACGCTTTTCATTCTTTATTTCTTCGAACACTCTAACCTCTTGCGTTGGAATGACGTGGCGCGCACGTCGAGAATTTTTTGCCCCAAAATTGCTTGCAACGTTTTCTCAGTTTCAAGTATATTTAACTAACCTAGATAAAACAAATGATAAGTTTATTACCTCTTAATAATTTCTATCCAGTGATATCGTACCGACGAGTTCAAAAGAAAAAGAAAGCGACGAATAATTGTATACGGTTTTGGTCACTCGTTATGGTCCGCGAACCAGTTACCAGCGGAAGAGGTTAAACGAAATGTTTGGCGCGAATTGGAAACAAAATCGGCCAATGTTCTCGCGTAGAAAGCTTGCTTCGACAACTTGCTTTACATAAAATTTTGGTCGTTTGCTAGATTGACCAAAAGAGAAAAATACAGATTTTTATTTGAACCTTTTGCGTGTAACAAGGGAAACAAAAACTTTGTCGTCTATTTCGTTCGATTACCTTCTGCCATCTTTCGGTTAGTTTCAGAGTTGTTGACTTTTTTGACGAAAGCTAGTTCGAAGAACGGCTTAACAATACAAAAACTATCAAAGTGGTCAAAATGACAATTTATGATTTTTGTTACATATAAAATAAAGTCTATTTAATAAAATATTTAAATTTAGTTAATAAAATAATTAAATTTACTTGATAAAATGTTTAAATTTTTAAAAATTAAAATGACATTTTCGAAAAATATGCAAATAAAAGCTGATGTAATTTATTGTATTACGAAGCATTTCCATTTTTTATTTTTTTTTTTATTTTAATATTTCTGATGGAAATTTTATGCTTTAATCGTCGGTAGTTCCAGTGCCCTCGTCGGCAATGAAGTTTAACAGACAAATTCTCCACTGCCTCAAGGTTTCTTTACCATACATCTATAATTGATAATTAATTAATTAATTAATTGATATAAAGATAATTTTGTACGAGCTTGTACAGGGATTTTTTGTTTCTTCCTTTTCAAGAATAGAAACGTTTCTTGTTGATTTTCCATTTTGAAATCCAATTGAACAATTAGCTCTTATAGGTTATGTAACAAATCACTTTTAAGATACGTGCATTTGTCTACCAAGAAAAAAAAAAAAGTGAGACAATTACTTTTTGGTCAGTTTCGATATATACGTATTCACACGTGTGAAAATTTTGATAAAAAAAAAAAATATCAAGCATCGAGTCGAGGTTATTTCTCTTGGAATTTTCACTCGAGCAACGTTCGGTGTTGAAATTGATCCGACGGACGATGAAGTTTCTCCGACGTTTGCCCCAACTTTTCGTTCTCTCGCATGCGTTCCACGCCACAGCGCACCGAAATATCTGGAATTTGAATTTGAAAAAAAGCATCGTTCCTCTCTACCGAAAATCTATACTATACGTCGTACACCTCAGGCAAAAAGATAGCACATTTACGTTTCAATACACTTTTTACCATTTAATTTTCCTGTAACAAATTTTACTTTCATCTTACCTTGGTAACCAATATTTCCCCAAATCATTGTACCATTACCCCCATGGGGTATCGACGACTCGGAAGTTGTTGCTCCTTTTGTAAATCACAATAATAGCAAGGGAGGTCGCCATCAGGCTTGTCTAAATCAGTGGTTCCCAATCTTTTTTTTTTTTTTTTTTTGGCCATGCTCCACATAAACATCTCTAAAATCCTGACGCGACACATGAAATCCCTACTCCCGTGACACGTAATTCTTGTTATTTAAAAAGTGAATTTTTGACGTGGAGGAATCGCAAAAGGCCATTAACTTGATCTAAACGAACTTCCAAAGAACGTGACACGAAGGAAAAAAATTACAAAATTAAATTTTCATTTAAAGAAACGAAAAAGAATTCATTCTCGAATTGCCGCTATAGAAAATTAAATTGCTCTCCAGTAGAGGGTGGGCCACGGTGGAGAACCACGGGTCTAAATCTACCTAACCTCTTCTCATCGGTAAACACGACTCTTCGCCACTTCTCACGTACATGACATAAGAAAATATAGTGTTCTGTCTTCTTGTTCCCCCTCGTTTTACTGTGTGTATAATTGCCCCCCACGTCTCGCAATCTTCTATACATTGTCCTGTTCCGAACGCGAAAGTGGAACAACGGACAGGGGTCCTCCCCTCGAGAAATTGGAAATTGCTTTCTTGGCAGCTTTTCCGCGATCGAATTATTATTCCATCCCAATTACGTTATTATAGGGCGAGCGCAATTTAATAGAGACGATATTCGTGTAGTCTGCTGCCTGGCGGCAGGAGTGGGGAGGGGGAGGGGCGACTCGTCTGGCCCAGTGCCATTCCGCAAAATACAGCCTGCTGCCCATGCCTAAGGAAACTTAATCCGCTTTCTTCGGTATTCGGCTCGTCCATTATGCAGATCCGATTATTGGTCGGGATACCGGGATTGCCGGTTTCTGTCGCAGCGATAAAAAAAGCACTGACGACGGGGGAGTTAGGCGATCGCCACTGGAATATTCTTGCGCCATATTTCATCGTAATTGCGTTCCCCCCCTCATTCAAGGTAAGTGAGCTCGCGCGTTTTTTCGTTTTTTGTTTAAAATGTGGTTAAATTCTACGGCAGACCTTAATGCTTACCGCACGTGTAGTATACGGTAGCAGTTGAATCGCTATCCGACACTCAGAACGACGAAATTTTTCGTCAGCGTGCATTTCGTTGGAAAGTATATTAAAATAATCGAAACGACCGAGTTGCATTAAACCAATATTACTTACTTATTATTTATTAATATTTATTTATTTATATATTATGTAATATTTAATATATAATATTATATATTATTTATTAATATTTATTTATTTATATATTATATAATATTTATATTTATATTTTATGTAATATGATAAAATATATATAATATACATTATTTATATTTTATCATATTATATTTATTTATTTATTCTGTATGTGAATTGCTGGTGCACGTGCTAAAAATGCAACAGTAACTCGAAGCTTTATCTCACAATATATCTTGATAATCTAAGGTACGGTACCAATTCGAAACGTGGGTCAATGTATAATCCTACATCACATTTCTTGCATTCGTGATGTGTTCCACTTTTTCCTACACTACGTACTTTTAATATAAGAATAAGAGTAAGAATTCACCGGGGAGAAGTCTTCGTATTGACTCTCGCGTAGCTGGGTCGTCAATGAAGAGTGCTCAACCCGCGTATCTACCGTCGTGTCTTTTCCGAACGAGGAAGCTGGGTCGTGGAAAAGACGTGGCTGCAGGCCAACGGGAGTCGGACGAGTCTCTGTTCGAGGAATAATCTCGATCTGTTTCCTTTTTCTGTTTCGAACAATATCGGCGACGATATTGTCGTCGTCGTTATCCACCGTCCAAAGTAAAGCGAGGTAAAGTAAATCGTCGAATCGCAGGGACGTGCCAATTTTCCGTTTTGGCATCGAGACCAACGTTTGACGTCGGTCTCTCGATGCCTGCCGCACAGCCTTCCCAAAAGAAAAGAGTAATTCCAAAAGAGATCGTCGTACGTTGGATGAAAAGTTTCGTCCAACAATAACTCGTCCAACGATCGAACCTCGTGTTCCATCTATTTCTTTACGCACAGAGATTTACCAAGACGTAGAATGAAATCCCAGAGGAACACAAAGGGAAGCAAACGAGGAGAGAATGTACAGGGTGTCCGTAAAGTCTCTTTACAATTTCAAGAATTTATTATGAGGCAAATGAAAAGACAGATAAGTGAAAATTATTACAAAACCTAACTAATGGTGCCCATATAGAGGTGTACTAAATGAGGCAAAAAAAAAAAAAAAAAAACTTGAATATATACGTCTCATTTTGTAATAATTTCCACTTACCTGTCTTTTCATTTGTCTCTGTCATAAATTTTTGAAATTGTAAAGAGATTTTATGGACACCCTGTATATAGTAGCTCGAAGGCTCGAGGATAAGAATGATGGCGCTGGCAGCAGAAAAACGATGCCACGTGCGCTATATGGTGGAGGAGTAAACGACTCGTTCCGTCGAATCAGGGATCGAACGATCTGTCGTGGGAATTTGCCAGTCAAACGTCGTCTCGAGAGAAAGATAAAGAGGTGACGAGGAAAGAAAGGGACAAAGAGAGAGGGAGAGAGAGAGAGAGAGAGAGAAGCGTGTGGCACAAAGGAACATAAAGAGGATGATTTTGCGACGGAATAAAAACGGCGCTGCAACGATGGGAAATTGCCGCCACGCGCTGTCCTCTTTCAACGCCGCTCTAGCCGATTTTTTTCCTTTTTTTCTCTTTTCCTTTCTTCCTCTCTTTTCAAACAACGTGCATCGTGCCTGGAGCAAACGGGTATCTAGATCTTTTGCCGGAATGGCCAGAGCTTCGCCGTCGCTTTGGATCCACGCGACGTATTACGTTCGATTCGATGAAAACCGAGCTTTCGCAGATTCACTGCACTTGGACGTGGAAAAGAAAAATCGAACTACGTATTTAGAAGACGGGCGATCGAATTAAAAAAAATTGGCAGAGTATTACATAGATCACATATTGCGCGATTATCAACCGAGTCAGAAAGCAAACGTACACTCGAAATGATAGCACACTCTATATTTTCTTATATTATTATGTATCGTGAATTACGTGTAGAAAGTGGCGAGGAATCGTATT